CAGCTCCCAGCTATAGAAAATCTTAATTAAAGCTTCAGTCTGCTGCCATCCCTGTGGCCCCCACAGCCACCACTGCACCCCACCCCCAGGCCACATTCCTATTAGTCACTCTTGTAAGAAGCCACAAATGCACACATATACCTTATTTCCTCTCTTTCATTCACAAAAGAGGGCAGTTTATAGATTTTAAACCTTATTTTTTTTTTCCCCACTAGACACAAATGCCTGGAAAACAGTGCATAGCAGAACACAGAATTTATAGTGCCCAAGGAAAGCCTGCTCTCTGTTACTTAAACTTAGAAGAGCAAAGGCCAGGGGCAAGTACTTTTTAACCACACTGTACCCGTTCTCCTCAAAGACACCGAAGGAAAGTCAGGGTCCTCCCAGGCAGCAGGGCTAGAGGAACCCTAGGCCCCTTCATCCCCCATCCCCTCCTCAAAGCCAAGGTGACAGCCTACCCCACAGAGCCTGGGAGGAGAACTTTGTGGGAACTCCTTTTTATGTGACCTGAGAATTTTCACTATATTACTATTAGGTTTTCAAGTACGTTATAGAAGTAAGAGAAAAACATCTATTTCCCATATATATGAAAATAGAGGCCCCCATGAGTACTCTTGGCAACCATCTTCTCTACTTGCCTATGGCCTACTTGAAATAACTGTCTTGTTTACCCTCTGTGCCCCCACGCTCAGCATAGTGCCTGAAACATAGCAGGTGCTTAATAAACACCAACAACTATTAGGGATAAAAGGACTAGAGACAAGGTTGCCAGAAGCTACTAGATAGGTTAAAACACTGCATAACCACCCCGTGCAAACTGCCATTTATACAAGGTCAAGAGACAAAGAGTATAATGAAGGGGAAGTCTGGATACCACAGTGACTTGTTTTGCCTGAAAAAAAATACAAGATTTCATAAAGACTTCAGTAAAATTAAGTCAACCTAAATAAGGGACCAGGAAAAAGACTAAATAATACAAAGTAAAAAATCAAAATCAACAAACAACTATAAACCAGAGACACACTAATGGCGGGGGGGAAGTGGTGGGGAGAGGAAGGACTAGGGTCAAAATAAGGGGGTGTGTAATTGTGTGGGGAATATAACCAAAATGAAAATGCATACAATGTGCAAAAATGAAAAAATGATGTAAGAATTATATAAGATAAAATATTAATTAAAAAAGAAAAATATATATAATATGAATGATAAAAAATTGTTATCACATTTTTTCTTCATTCTAAAATGGTAGTGGTAGAAGAGAAGCAAGGGAAGAAGAGGGAAGTGAGCGCAAAAGGACTCACTTGGAAATGGACCCTTGGAAATGAACTTGGTGTATTTTTAACTCAACCTCACATGGAAATTATTTCCAAAGGTAACGTAACACCTTCTTTGGTAAGTCAAATAAGTGTTTTCAGCATCTGCCCTCAAACTCTTCCATATTAGTTTCTTGAGACAGTCATTTTTCAGGGAGGTGACTCTCACTTTCCATGTGTAATTCTTTTAAATAAAAATTATCCTGGCTTACTCCTGGACTTAATTCTGACTTAATTCTTTGCTATTCTGTTTTTTAATATACTGACCTACTACATGAATATACTGAATATATAAACCTTAAAAACATCTTGAGAGGGCCTCCCTCGTGGCACAGGCGGTTGAGCGCTGCACTGTGAAGCTGTCCGCAGCCTCTGCAGCGCAGGTTCGATCCCGACCGGCTGATGAGAATCCCACAGGGTGCAGCAGACCTCTCCTGTCTTGCCCGCTGCTCCCCTCAGCAGTGTATTTCAGTCAGTCTGCCTGTTCAGTTCCCCACTCTGTCTCCGGTGAATCCTCTCACCCTCCTGCACATCTGGCCTGCACCCTGGTTCTTGTATAAAAATAAATAAATCTTTAAAAAAAAAAATCTTGAGAATTATGTTGAGTTGGTTTTCTATTCAGATAAACTTGTAGGTAGAGCAAAACACATTTTAATAACGGTTCTTAATGGTCATAATTAGGGCACTGTTCCCACGAAACCCAGTTCAATTAGGTAGGCATGATGCATTTAGACAGCTGTGTTCTGTCCCACTAGATGGCAAATAGTGTTCCGTGACAGAATCATTCGTTTATCGAGCATTGTGCTAGATGCTAGGATTACAAAAATGAATTAACACAGACCATTGCTCTCAAAGAGCTAACTATGGGAGAAAAAGGAAATGTGTAAACAAATAAATATAACAGCTCAAGACAGGCTTTAATGGGTTTATGTAATCAAGGCAGGAGTACAAAGGAGTGGCAAATTTTACTTGGCTTGCCTAGAGGAGGCTTTCAGCGGAACTTAATGAGTCTTAAGAGAGGGGTGGATTCTCCAGCGGATAAAAGTTGTAAAGATGACAAAGGCAAAGAGGCATGATTCAGGTCACTGGCAATAGTTCACAGGAGCTAGCGAACATAAAGACAGTGGGAATGGGAGTAGAGGTCCTAGAAAGGCAAGCAGAAGTCAGATCATAAGGATCTGGTATGAAAAGCAAAACTACTTGGACTTGGGCCTCCCTAATGGTGCGAGGTGTTAGGATGGACGCAACCTATGAAACTGTCCGTAGCCACTGCAGCACGAGTTCGACCCCCGGCCAGCCAGGGAGTTACCCACATTGCACATCAGACCTCTCCTGGCTCACCTGCTGTTCCCCTCAGCAGTGTGTTTCAGTTGATCTGCCTTTTCTGTTCCCCACTCTGTCACTGGTGAGTCCTCTCACCTCCCACACCTCTGGCCTATACCTCAGTTCTTGTGTGTATAAAATAAATAAATCTTTAAAAAAAAAACTACTTGGACTTTATTCTGTAGGCAATGGGGAGCCATTGAAGGATTTTTAAGCAAAGTAATATTTCCAAAGACACAATTTTTGTGGCAGTACAAATCCAGAAAGTGGATTTAAAGAAGACAACACAACCTTATGTAAAAAAAGACTGGGGGAGATGCAGGTAGTTATGGAAACAAAGGACCAAATGGATTGGAGACTTAACAGGTAAGAGTTAATGTTGACTGTACAGAGGAGAAAAAGGAAGATGCACAGATTTGTCTTTGAGTTGTGAAGTATGGTGAAACAAGGAAGAAATTTTGGCTTTTAAGGGGGAAGTGATAAAGTCAGCTTAGGACATGGTAAATTTCATGTTTCTGTGGACAAGCAGGTGGAGAAGAGCAATAAATTGGCAATTTGGGTCAGAAGGTAAGAATTATGAGCTGGGAATCTCCTGCATATGCCTAGGGGGTACTTGTAGTCAAGTACTTTGCAAGTACACAAGATCACCTGCTATATGTGGCTATTTAAAATTTAACATTAAAAACCCAGTTCCTTACACTATTTACACAAAATGCTTAATAGTTACATGTACCTAGTGACTACTATATTGGACAGCCCCATCAGAGAACTTTTCCATCATCATAAACACTGTACTTGGCAATACCAGAAAGTGAGTTACTGATCACAGGGAGGAAGTGGAAGGTAGAAGAAGCAGGATCTTCTGTGGAACCTGAGAAAAGGATGGGTTAGATAAAGTCACACCCAAAAATCAAGGTAGAAGGAAAAAAGTAGGCCTTAAGATCCATGCTGGACATTTAACTTCTTCAGTTGTAATACTGGCAGTGCCTTCCATGAGCTAAGTTTTGTAATAGGTGCTTTCCATGTCATTTACTAAAACTGTACAACCCTCAAGTGATAGGCTAGTTGCCATTTGCTGCATTGTCAAGACTATTACTGCCAAATTTTAATCATGTTCCTTTGCCAAGTTTACTAATTATTTACATATACAATGCAGTACAGGATAATCACTGATTTCATGTCCTTATATAATTAAAGACTGCAATATCATTCTTTAAATATGATCCAGTCATGCTCAGTGAAATAAGCCAGAAAGAAAAAGAAAAATACTGAATGGTTTCACTTTTAGGAGGAATGTAGAGGATTCAAAGAAGGGATCAGGAAAAAAAAAAGTAATTTTAATAAAGTAAATATCAAAATAAACGGGCAACTATAAACCAGAGGCATTCTACAGAGGAGCAGAGGGGAGTAGGATCAAAACAGGGTGGGAAGAGCACAAGGGACTATGGTGATGGTACATGTGTGAATGGATGGTGAGAATTTCACCAAGTCTATAACCGAGATGAGAAAGCATACATTGTACAAAAATGAAGAATGATGTAAAAAATATATAAAATAAAAAATATGCATATAAACATGATACAGGAAAATTTGCACAAAGAAGATGTTGTTACTCTACAGCTAGCATAATCTGATCCCTTTTTGCTCAGGATATTGGGCAATGCCTTCACCTTACACTTTCCTGGAAACTAATTGCAAATCCTCCAAGATCTGTTGTAGAAGAGCAATTATCTCAAGAATCCTTGTTTACAGGTGAGAAATATTCTGGGTCTGGAGAAAAACTGCTTCTACAAAGAGGCTTTACTGGTCTAACTGCATTAGCAAAATAAAAAAACAAATTACCTGTGGAAGGCACAAATGAGCATGGCATTTGATAGTATGCGAGTTTCAGTTGTTTCCACTATGTCAGCTTTACATGTAGAAGATGATAAACTCCTTGAAGGCAGGTAATGCCTGAGACCTCTCAGAGAGTCTCCAGAACACAGATTTCAATTTATGGAACTTGGAAGATTAAATTAGCAATGGAACTCAGGTATATCAAAAAATGTTCTAGGACTATGTTGAGAAAGAGGCATGTTTTGTCAACCCACGTATTTTTCTTTTAATGATAATATTTCAAGAGTTTTGAGTGATATAGCAATATCTTTTCTGAAGTCTCTCTCTCTTCTCTTCCACACACACACACACACACACACACACACACACACACACACACATAACCATTAAGCCAAGTCAGCATGTTTCATGCCAGGACATGTTGATACATGTCCGTATGTGGAAACTTGGGATAAACTAAGTCCATTCATTTGTATGACTTTGCATGATTTAAATGACTAAATGATTTATGATTTAATGATTGGCTTTATTTGTGATACATAGTGACAATAAACCAAACTATGCATAAAGATTGCTACTTAGAATTCATTCAGAAATAAATTGATAATGGTCATGATCTCACAATCTAGTCTCAAATACAAATCTAGCCCCTAGGTATTTCTGAAATTTGTCTGTTTGCTTTAAATCTTCACTACTACGTGATACCTGAAAAACAAGAAGGGAATTACCATGTCCTTTTAGGATAAAAGCTATGATCTTTAAATGTATTTAACTGAAACTATTGAAAAACTGTGATCACTTTATGCTGATGTTGCAATCCAAGGGCAATTATTTATAAGCAATTCACTTGAAATTTAGGAAAACAAACATTACGAAAATCCAAGATAACCCAAAAAAAGGTTCTGAGAAAAAAATAATTACATCATCACACAAAGTCTTTAGAACATTATATTTCATAAAAGACAATGATAAAAAAGTACAAACATTTCCATGAGAAGCAAAAAAAAAAAAAAAAATGAGAGTACAAGAAATTACTAGCATGTATTTCAGTGCATTTATGTAGAAGCCTTTCGGATCTAAATAAATAAAATAAACTTAGGTATACTTCGTTCTCATATACAACACAATTACCATTTTAGTTCTCTCAATAGGTATACCTTCAAATACAAGATAATAAATCTAGAATATTAATATTTGTCTGAAAAGCATGTAAAAAAAATAAAACAGGGACTAGCAAAGGCCAAATAAAATCATGCAAAACCTTCTTTTTCTTGTAGGGAGCCTCCAAAAGTAGGAGAATATTGTATTAGATATTTTTCCCATTTTGTTTTAAAATGGGTATCAATATTTTGACTGGGAAAGGAGTATAAGCAAATTTTTAACATATAATTTTGTATTTACATAATATTGTAAATAAGGTTTTCTTACTGAACACCTTGACACAAAATACAAAAAGAAATGTAAATTTAGATTAGAAAAATACTCATTAAACCCTAATTTTGGCTAACATTTCAATACCTCGCTCCACTGTGAATTATGTTATAGCAAACATCTATACTTTTCCCTTTTCTTTTCTACAAACAGGCCCATTAATCATTACTATTTTTTCTAGTTGAAAGGCACTAAATAACTTTCCCAGTAGTGCCACAGGGACCTTATAATAACTCTACATACACATGTATATGTTTCTTGACTTTAAGACTGAAAAATACAAGAAATAAGTTATCAGATGTCAGCATAATTTTAAAAAGGTTTCAACTTGCTTGACTTGATTTGTTTAGAAATGAAATAATACTTTTTCTGTAGATATATCTAGCATTGCTTCTGACTCAGAGTAAGCAATTGATATATGTTTCCTATTAAATCTAACAAACATAACTGTAAAGAAAAGTTTGCATTTGCAATGCCTTTGCTAATTTTCATGGAGATTTATGATCATAACTGGGCAAAGTGCTCTTTTATGGAAACATATAAAAGCCACTATAGGCAAAAATGAATTTTAGGCATGTACTTAAAAAGTATAACCAAAAACAAAAGTAGTAAGATGGTTTTCACAGGAGACATACCACATTAAAAACTTAAAAAAGAAAAAGTAAAATATTCATCCAAAACCAAAAAATTCCTAAAACAAAAATTACTATTAGCCTTACTCAAAGAAAATAAGGCATATGATAGAGGTACTGAGTTCTCCTGAAACTGTAATATATGAAAATTAAAAACATTCTATCTTCTCACAAATGTGTTTTCCTAATAAGATTCAGAAACAGCCCTCATTTTTCCCACAACTAAAATATTTAATCTTATTGGGATAATTATGCTTCTATGCCCTTACAATCTTCTCTAGTGATCAACAACTAACTGTCAACATCCTCAATCTACTTTCTTTCATCAAATAAAAAAACAACAATTACAATGGTTATGAGACACATAAAATGAACAGATACATAAATTAAGTAAAAAATCTCTTACATTTTAGGTCTGATTTTTCATTGAGTACCAGCAAAAATGAAAATAAGTCCATTATTTTGAAAATATGTCTAAGAAATATACGTGGAAAAATTCTGCTTGGTATCATAACAGAAAGCTGTCAGTTTTCTCAAAGGTAAAGAATTTCAATTATTTTAGCTTGGTTCACATTCATTTGTGTTACCAATACTGCCAAAGAAAATAACACTTGAATATTAAACTTAAAACCCGAGGTCAAGAATAAAATAATATACTTAATAATATAAAATAAAATAATATACTTGATATCAGGTAGTAAGAACTGTTTTCAGAGCAGTGTCTTATAACATCAATGCATTTAAATAACTGATTATGTATTTCAATATAATTCTATTGTTATGCTTTTAGTGAGGAAATTTTAATACCAGAGATGTAATAAAAATGAAAAAAAATAGTCTGAATAAAATTGGGTGAAATTAAAGGATTCCTTCTAAACTTAAAATTTCTATCAATATAAGTCTGAGAATTAAACTTAAATTTGTTTTTATCTACCATTTATCTTCATAAAAATAGAATATTTATCTAATAGTATAATTCATTTGTATATTGTAGGTACTAATGGGTTTTCCAGAGCTCATCTTTTAAAAAAATTGTTTGGATTTTTTTGGCTTTCTGAACTAGAAATAATAAAAGTGCTATTTGCTATGAATTAAAAAAAAAAAAAACAGCATACAAACACAAAAAACCTTGGAAATATTTTTCGAGGCACAAAATCCCTGACATTTACACCAGAGGTACATCATGAAAGACATAAAGAGGTCCATTATATCATGTCACATCACAACTTTAAAGATTTTCTTGCCAATACTCATGCAATATGCATAAACAATATGGTTGTGATTTAGCAAAATCTGATGAGATTGCAAGCAAGGAAAAAAATAGGTAATCCTGGCAAGGAAGAAAAGTTATTTAAGCCTTTTCTTCTTACCCTTTAAAACCCTAAGAGAGCTATGACTTCTTCCATACAAAAGGCTGAAGGTCTAAAGCTCAAAACTAGTATAACAGTTTACTGTATTAGTTGGCTGTCAATTATTGACAGTTCCTTCATCTCACACAAGGATTAACCTTTGTTTAGTAACATAAATTACAATTTCTTTTTTTCCATGCAAATAAAAAATGCCTATAAAAGTCCAATAAAGGCATAACCAATTACATGCAAATCTGCAACACACCTTATTTTTCAACAATTTGAACACATTAATTTACATCACATATGTACAAAATATATTTAAACGGAAATAAAGCATTCTCTTCAATTAAATTAGATTTGAGTATAAAAATTTTCTCTTTGTTGGGTGCTCGCTTAACTTCAGTCTGGGGTCTGCAGTGCTCGCCATGGGAGTGTCTCAGAGTAGAGAACGAGTGGAAGAAGGTGGGCTGTGCATAGTCCCACATCATGAGCACTGAGGACTGCTAGGTGTATCCTTCTCACAGAACAGGGCACTGTGACACATCCATTCACTGACCTCCATTAAGAGTGCACTATGAGTTTATGATCCAGCACTTGGTCTATCTTGCCATGAGAGCTACTTCTTTAATAGTCTTCGATTGGAGCTAACTCTGGCATGAGATTTACAGATATATTTGTATACAACCTATCAACCAGTATTTTTGGCGTACATATTAAATTGTTCAAACCATCGATGTACTGGCGCTCTTTTGAGTATCTTAGTAATTTATACCTACAGTGTTAGAGAAAAAAATGAAAAGTACAGAAACATGTTCAAAAAGGAAAACTGATTAAGAATATGTTCAAATTCATTCCTAAAGTATTTAAAGCTCTTACAAAGTTTGGTTCTCGTGCATAATTAAAAATCTTTCCAAACCATTATTTTAAATTAGCATTTTTTACTCGTCTTAAAAGCCACCTAAGACAATTATTTTGCATTCTTACTATTTAGACATCCTTAAGAGATAAAACATAGTGTGTTTTATGTTAAGGAAATACTTTCTATATAGTTAGGTCTTTGATAAAACATATAAAATGTATGTGCGTGCATGCACAAGCACAAAATGCTTTACTTCTATAAAGAAAATGACAGAAAATTCCCCTCAGAAGGCTTTTTTGGTTGCAGTGCATTTTTTAAATCTTTCATACATTAAATAATTTTAAAACCTTGGTATTGGAAGATGACAACTTACCGTCCTAAGAACTGGACTTCACCTCGATGGTGATGAGGAATAGACTTGTATTTTCCCAAGTCTCCCTCTGGTCTTGTTACATTATATCCTGCATAGTGAACTCTACAACACAACAGATGGAATTGAAAATATAAAGAAATAAAATATGACATAAATATGGACTACACAAGTTCAATTCAAAATGAAAACAAAAAGTCTACTATATGTGCTATCAATAATTTCAGAAAATACTCAACGAAAAAGGGGTGAAACAGAAAATGGGATTTAGAGGCCTCAAAATTTTTTTATCCCAAAGAATCTCTTCTTGGAATAGAAAAGTATAATGTACCTAAAAGAAAGGAAATCTATTATTAAGTAATTGATACCTCAACATACCTATTCCAAAGGTCATCATCTTCTCCTCCCCATCCCCAGAAGGCATTAGGAAAACCATTGATCTTTCTAAACTGTTCCACTGTCAGTCCACTTACTCCACCAAAAAACTCTTTATATGGAAGACTGAAAAGAAAGCAGAATATAGCATGCACTTCTAAAAATGAAATCATAACTGTCACATGAAATCAAGTTTTCAGTCTTTTATGTGCTTTGCAAAATATATCCCTATTTTTAATATATACAATTGTTGATTAAATCATATCTGGGCAACATAAAGTATACCAACAAACTTTTTTTATGTTCTAGTGAAGCAAGTATATCTAAAACGGTCATGTTAAACACAATATAACATAAAACACTTGTGGTTTTTGAAATTTAGTATTTGTTATTATTTTACAAAGCTCAAAACCCAGTGTTCAAAAACTATATTTTCACACCAAAAATAAACTTGATCAAATACATCAATCACTATCAATGCAATGCTAAATATTGTAAATACAATTTCCTAAATTAATTGAGCATAATTATAAGTGTATTATTATGTAAGCCAGGATAAATGAAAATTAGCAAATATGCCTAGTATTTAATTTTGCAATGACTAATTGCCTATTTCTATACGATCTTATCTATTTTGCCTAATATTCTCAAAATGCTCATGGCTATTAGCAAGTATTTTTAAATTCACTAATATTCAGAAAAACTACTGGGGTTTTTTACTGAGATTTCTGACATGTAGCTTGTATTAGTTTTAAATGTACAACATATTTTCTATATGTATATATTCATGTACATAATTACCACAATAAATTTAAGTAACATCTATCACCACACATAGTTAAAATTTACTTTCTTGAGGGGTGAAACTTAAGTGGGGAGGAGGCACATGGGCTGTGGTGGTAGACTGCAGAAATGCTTTGGGGGTGAGTACACTATGGTAACTGCACCTCAAGGGGGAGCCTATACTTCTGAAATACAGTGATGTAAACCAAAATTACCTCAGTAAAAGACAAAAGGAAAAAAATATAATTTTATCTCTTGTCATGACAGTGTTTACAATCTACGCCCTTGGAAACTTTCAAATACACGCTAAAGCACTGTTCACTGCAGTCACCCTGCTGTGCGCTACATCCCCAGGATTTATTTATCTCACAACTAAAAGTTTGTACCTTTCTACATCCCCCACTCTGCCAACCACCAATCTGTTCTCTGGATCTATGAGTTAATAATTTTTTTAGATAAGTGAGATCATACATTTGTCTTTCATTGAGAAATGACATTTTTTTAATTTGTGATTTTTCATATCTTTGCCTAACTTATGCTCCAAGGAAATTTTCCAATGAAGGTGTTCACATCCATTCCTGAATGAATTCCTGTGGCCCCAAATGTGCATTTGGGGAGTGGGGTACAAGAGCCCCTAAAAGCATCAGGCCAACATGGTGGGCCAGCAGAGAAAACGTGAGCCCACTCAGCACCTGAAAACCAAGCAGAGGGAAGTCTGGCGGGACTATAACAAAGTTGCCTCAGGGAAAAGGGAAAGCAGATTTCACAGCTGGAGTTGGACTATCACTTAAATCCCTCTGGGGAAAGAGTGCTGTTTGACAGCTGGGCTCTTGTGTGGCTACAGAAGATGGGAGCAGTTGCTCCCATATGAAACTCTGGTGTTGCAGGAGAAAGATGAGCCAAGTGCACCCCAAGAGAGCCTACAGCAACACTGACTCCAAAAAAAAAAAAAAAAAACAGAGTGTCCCTGGAGATTCACAAGGCTCACATGTGGGAAATGAGCATTCTGGTAATAATGCCAGTTAGGGTTCATGACACTACTGTATTTCCCACACCAGCTGGATGATTCCTACCTGGGACAGCAGTTTGGGAGAGATCAGGGATCCGTAGATAGTAGGATATGGATAAAAGTCTCTGTGCTTATTGGCATGTATATATTAACAAGCACTTTTATTCCACTTACTGTTCTAGAAATTAATGATTACAGTATACCCAAAATGGAAAAAGATTAGATAAAATAAAGGTATAATAGAGAAACTAAATAATAGAAAACAAAAGTTCAATAAGCAAAAGTCTAGAAGTGTTTATCTGAGGCTATCTGAACATGTCCAAGCAAGAAAGACACTAATCTGGGGACCAGAGCTTTCAGGTCAGCTGCCATCAGTGTGGGTGGCATCCCTATAGGGTATTGTAGTTTTCATAAGACTGCACCCCATGGCCAGACTCTATGCACAGTACGGTCCACTGCCTGACTGGCTGCTATTCTCCCTAAGCTACATTCTACTTCCAATTAAACTTTCAAGAAACCGTAGGGATTAGTCTAGATGGATATGAATATTTTATTCACTAAAAACTATTTTAAAGTAAAATATTAATTTATAATTCTTAGTTTGTATGAGCTTTATGCTATTTTTTAGTGAAAGCCAGTTACCCTAAATCAAATTTTATTCTAGTAGGCAAACGACATGTAAGTTTCTAGAACTGCTAAGAACAAGAAACTGAACCTGGCCAACCATCCCCAAGGTAACACCAGGTAATGATGATGGCCAATAAAAGGGCCTTCTAATGATGATGGCCAATAAAAACCAAAAAGGCATTCTTTTCCTGTTTGAGCACTAATTTGAGATTTTGCGCCTCTCTCTGCTCTGTAGGTCAGGCAGCATACAAAACTGTGGTGGAGGCAACATTCCCCACTCCAGACTGTATTATCTTCTGTCCACTTCCATTATCAATGAAAACTGTGGTCATTTTTCTAGATTAGACCTGTGTACTTTAACGTCAAGTTAAGCTACTATCACAGCTCCAATGACTATTTACCTTTCCAGGTATCTCGCAGTCTGAGAATGAAAAATTTTCTTACTAAGGGCAAGCCAAGAATTCACAGCTGAAGATGATACACTGCAAGAGAGAGGGCCCTCACTGCACTGAAACATCACTGGGGGAGAGCCAGCATATTCTCACGCCTACCTGGGACAGCCTCCCACATGTGACCTCACAGCAGCCCATGACAGCTCTATTATTCTAAGAAGGAAAGCAACATTCAGGATACAAGTCCTAAGATAACTGCTAAGTGTTAAAGCCAGAAGTTAAATCCACATTTGCTTGACTGTAGAAATCAGGCTCTCTTTTCTAGCACTCCACACTCAAACTTCTGCATGAGGATGTATGTAGGTGGACAAGCAACTCTATACCCTGGCTCCCTGAGAGGGCAGGTTGGAGTTAAAGAAGATACTATTTATGTTCTTGAGGCCTCTCGGATCCAGACACATAATGCTGCTAACATTTCTAATATATGGTTTTGCAAGTATATTGTACCTATCAGGAAGATTGCATATTACTTACATATACATGTATTTATCCAGCTTTGCTGCAAAATGACGAGGCATTTCTCCACATCCATAATAATTTCGGTCATTTTCGGGTAGATGATCCACATCATGGAATATCACACAGTCCCATATACTGTCTTTCATGGCCTCTTTAAAGCCCACATTGAAAAGCATTGCACGGTTAAAAGGTTGTGTGCCAGTCTTGACAGAGAGAAAAGCAGAAATGTGCTAAGGCTTTGTCTTCTGACTATTTTCCATATTTTTCTAACTAGTTGAATCATGGTCAAATAATAATAAATGCATTCAAATAAAAAAGATAAAATAACATAGTTCAGAATTTTCAAATATACTATTCACTTACTGTATTATTTTAAACATTTCTAATCTATAAGCAACATTGTTATTGTCCAGTCTATTGGTGAATCATCATCTATATGTAATGATATAATTTACATTTGTTTTACTTTAAATACATTAGGATATAGATTATTTATGACCAAGAAAAAAAGTCATAATATTGATTGTGTTTTTTTAGTGACACTTTCCATGTGCTCTCAAGAAGAACAGCAAAAAACTGATATTTGATTCAACAAGTATTAACATTTCTCTTATATGACAAGGTTAGGGAGGACTAGCTTCATATTACTAATGCTTATCATTAAAGACAAAGACATTTTTAGAAACAAAAACAATTGGAACTTATAATACAAAACCCAACTTCCTTTATTGCAACCATTTTCCTTTATTACTAAGAGAAATACATTAAGGTACTGGGCAACAAAGTCCCCGCTCTGTCTCTGGTGAATCCTCTCACCCTCCCGCACATCTGGCCTATACCCTGGTCCTTGTATAAATAAAATAAATCTTAAAAAAAAACAAAGTTTCCGTTTGTTTTAGTCTTGCTTCTGCTAAAGACTGACAACATTTTACCAGACAGAAAGCACAGAAACGTATTACACAGAACCCAACTTCCTATATAATAACCACTTCCCTTCATTTATGAGGGAAATTATGTTAAAGTGCACTGGCAGTAAGTTTCATTCTGTATCTAAAGAAAATTAAAGAGGAGTTACTTATGCCTTGGCAACATTCCTCAAAATCACTTAAAAAGTATGAAATAAAAAAGGATTATGAGAGAAGCAAATGAGATACCCATGCAGTCATTGGAGTTCTATACCAACAAGGAACAATCATTAATTTTTTTTTTACTTGAGTTTTCTTTTAATACCAAAGATTAATACATGGGAAGACTTTACTTTTAAAGGTTTTAAAAGACATAAAATACCAAGCTTTAAGAATGAATATTGCACTGAATATCATTGCAACACATTAAGAATGTCCCAAACCTTTAGAAGGGACAACATCTCCAGTTAGCTTCCTCTTTGGATGAAAACAGGAATTGAGTCAATCAGTCCTTGAAAGTCATTCCTGTGTGCACCTGAAATCGGCTGTGTCACTGACAAAACAGATTCAGATACACTTTCACGTTAAAAAGACTGATTGATGCATAGGTGTATATATATATGTGTTTGTTTTTATTTTTACTTATCAGCACAGATTGATGGGAAAGAATCTGGTAATAAGCCTGGCTCTCGATTAGGAATAAATCCTGGCATGGTTTTGCCTCCATTTTTTCCATCTAATCACTGATTAGTTTGATCCTGGTCATTAACTTGGACCTCTGAGTTTCAGAGTTCCTTATTCATTACAACGAAAATTTCAACTAGAATTGCTTTGAAAAAACAAATCGAAACTTCCCTTTGTGTCAGTTGAGAACGTTGTACAGGGAGTTAGAGAATTTTCTCATGAATTTCTGTTTCAACTTCAGCGTGCCTGAAACTGAACTTTCAGACTCAGAAGACCACCTTTTCTCCGCCACACCGCACGTGACTGACATTTTTGCAGAAGGAGCTAGAATTCCTGGGGGTAAGTGAGCCTCCTCCAATCTCAACTATAGTAAGAACTGACTCTAAAAATAGTATTTCACTATTTTCAACACCATTTCCCTACTTGGAGTCAAGAGGAGAGAAAAACTGGGTCCTGTTGGATGAGAAGCATTTCCCACTGAAGACTAGGAAAGAGACGGCAAATAGTATCTGCCAACTCCAGTCAGTTGGCGGATTAATGTAGCATCTCACTATGAAGGATTTATAATCTTTATGTTCATTTACTTAAATGGAAAAAATAATTTTGACTGTCCTCATGACTATGTGAAACAAAACAAAACGAGAAATACAGACCATTCCTGCATTAGGTTATACCTGTATCAATTCTTAGCATGGCTAGGGGATACAGAAAATATCACAGTTGAATGCTGCCTAAGACACCAAAGTGACTTCTCACATTTGGCTTCAATTAGGAGGAAACTGACATGCTCTTGGGAACAAATCTTCTTATTCCACAAAATGCATGCATTTTTTACAGGTAACACAAATTCTGATTGGCTTGGTATGCCTTTGTTTTGGAACAATTATCTTCTCTGTGCTCAATATTTCAGAATTTAAGGAAGACTTTTTCTTCATTTAAAGCAGGCTACCTATTCTGGGGAGCAGTATTTGTGAGTATATATATATATGCCTACAATTGTCTCTGATCTGACATTGCACATAGCTTTTCTCTTACCCAGATTGACTCTAAACAAACCAATTGCTATTTATTTTCAATATTTAAATTTATATTTAAATCATATATAAGTAAAGTTTACAAATCACTTGGGATTAAACATGTCAGCATATTTTTATCAAGTGAGACACCTGAGATGAATAAACATTAAATGAATTGCCCAAAAGATATTTAGCTAACAAAGATTACATGTAAACTTTCAGAATTCAATTCCAGAAAAATTCCCTCAACACTACTCATCAATAAATTTATCCTAGTGAAGGGAGAGAAAAGTGATTGCTGAGGAGAGGAGAACAAGGTATTTGATGAACTACTTCTATGCCCTAGAAGCTCCTTTAGGCGCTTTCTCATTGTATTCTTTTTTTAAAAGGTTAACAAAAGGTTTATTTACAAGGGAAGTGGACAATCATTAATTTTTATTACTAAATCCTACATGAACTTGAGGTAACAGAAGTCACTTTATATTTTCTTCACCAGTGAAATGGAGAAAATTATAAGGAAAGGACTTAAATTAATTTTTTATATTAGTATGGCATAATTTTGAAAAACGTTTTTCCTAAATGTGGACATAATACTTAATGGCTTATAATAAAAATTAAAAGTTCTATGTCAAATCCATTTTCATTCTTCAAAAGCAATATAGTTCTACTTCTCTAGCAGTTTATGCTGGTACTTATCACCATATTTCAAGTTCTGCGATTCCCTTGTCCAACTCCCTATCATGGTCACTGAGGATTTACATAATCACTGCCCCTCCACTCATTCTCCAAACATAGTTATAAAAATTTTTGTTTAAAATCAATTGTGCTGACATTTTTAGAACTATATATGAGGGCTGAGTGAATTATAATCATTTTCTTTCTCTAATTGTCATAGAGAAACTGATATTGACTGATAACTCATAGAGTGACTGATTAATAACTCTCTTCTGTTTTCTTAGTGTTTTATATAACTATCATTAGTTTGTACAGACTATGTCCTATATTTATTACTAACTGATATAATCATTTGTACAAAATCATCTCACAATCCCTCCTCTACTCCCAAACCCAACTCCAGCTCTGACTGCCCTCGTCTCTTGCTCTAGTCTGAGTTAATCAGACTGTGTGTGACTATGATCCTGGGACTTCACCTTCATTCTCTCAATAATCTATGTCTTTTCCTTGCTCTCTCAGTTTGCAGAGGCACATCTCTCAAACAGCTTCCTAAGTACAGGCAGAAGGAAAAAATACATATAAAGTATATATACATATATATGTTCAGTCAATGAATGAGTTAAAATGGCATTAATCTACCCATATATTTGACTGACATTTGGGATGAATAAAAAATTCCAGGTTAAAAATACTTTCGGGCCTCCCCTGGTGGCACAGCGGTTGAGCGCTGGGGTGCGAAGATGCCCGCAGCCTCTGCAGCACCAGTTCGATCCCTGGCCATCGGCGAGGGTCCCACATGGCACGACAGACCTTTCCTGCCATGCCCGCTGCTCCCCTCAGCAGTGTATTCCGTCAGTCTGCCTGTTCTGTTCCCTGCTCTGGCTCTGGTGGATTCTCTCACCCTCCCACACTTCTGACTGGACCCAGTGCTTGTATAAATCAATCAATCAATCAATCAATCAATCTATCTTTAAAAATAAAATAAAATAAAAATACTTTCCCCTAGAGTTTTAAAGGCACAACTCCACAATCTTCCATCATTCAGCATCACTGAGGTAGTCCATATGAAATCTGATACAAAATCATACAAATCATGTATAGTTTCTCCTATATATCTCTTTTTCATTTGTAGTCTAAAATTTCAAAACAATATGCTTCATAGTGGATCTGTATTTTATTCATGTGTAAATGTGGCCCCTTCAAGCTTAATATTCATGTCTTCACTTTCAGGAAACTTTCTATATTAGTTCTTTGGTTATTTCCCTATCCCCACCCCATGACCCACTGCATCCCACCCTCAATTTTTTCCTGCTGTTTTTCCAGAACCCTGATTAGCAAGGTGGCATTGGTTTTCTATTGCTAACTATCTACGTCAAAACTTAGTGGGGCCTCCCCGGTGGCGCAGCGGTTGAGCGCTGGGTTGCGAAGCTGCCCGCGGCCTCTGCAGCGCCGGTTCGATCCCCGGCTGCTCCCCGGCCACCGGAGGAGGGTCCCACATGGCACGCAGACCTCTCCTGCCGCCCGCTGCTCTCCTCAGCAGTGTACTTCGGTCCTTCTGCCTATTCTACTCCCCGCTCTGGCTCTGGTGAATTCTCTCACCCTCCCGCACTTCTGACTGTACCCAGTGCTTGCATAAATAAATAAATAAATAAATAAACAAACCAACCAACCTTAAAAAAAAAAAAAAAAAAAAAAAACTTAGTGACTAAAAATACATACTCATTATGCTCACAGCATCTGAGGAAAGGGAATTCTGACAGCACAGTAGAGGTGTTTTAACTCTACCCCACGACCTCTAGACCTTAGCTGGATAATTCACTGCATGGTGGCTCCTGTACACAGCAGCCAACATGATGCTGGCAAGTCGGTTCCTCTCCACAGAGCTACCTGAGTGTTTTCATACACAGCAGCTATCTTCCCTAAGAGCAGGCATCCAAGGCAGAAGCAGAGATTTTTTTTTATTACCTAGCCTCAGAAGCCACATGCTGTCACTCCAGTTTGACTGCCCATCAAGTCAGCCCATACTCATTGTGGGAGATGACACAAGGGCCTTGTTACAAGGCCCTGGGGTCACGTTGGAGGTGGTTACTCTTATGACCTATTGGTACTCATAGATTAAGCTTCTTAATTTCTTTTGTTATGGCTCTATTTTAGAAGTATTTTCTACAGTTTATTTTCCAACTGTTCCACTGATAGTTTCATTTTAGTTATCACATGTCATTTAACAATAACTTCCTTATTCTGATAATTCTTTATAGTTTCCTGTTTTGATTTCATGGACTCGTTATCTTTCCTTCACTCTCTATGGATATTCATTATAAATTCATTGTTCTATCCCCTTTGCTAAATGAAAGGAAGTGAACTTCATGGAGGTGATAAAGAGATGAGCTGGCCTTTTCCTTTGGAGACATTCAAATATTAGGTAAGGCACCTTTTCCCTGGGCTAATCTATCAACAGTTCTTCAGTGAAGACAACGACTCATGCCTCAACTGGAGGAATCGGGGAGACTCATTCCTCACTATTGGCTTCAAAAGCTCAATAGGAAAAAGGTCTGCTGGTCACTAGGGCCAGCATAAAGACTTACTTAACCCTTCTATTTTGAGGCCCCAGAGCATAACTGTATCAGCACAATCAAGATCTTCTCTATTCTGTAGTGTGGTTTTGCCACAGAATAAAATTTTCATTTCCTACTGAAATAATGGAGTAATCACCTGGCAACACAAGCAAAGATGAGAAACTAAGAATCTGATTGTTGTGTAATCAGCTTTGAAACAATTCCCTTATTCTAGCCCAATGTTTCAATCCATCTTCTATGACATGTTTCAAGTATCAAGATTTATCCAGCACACTGTCTCAGTTCTCGCTATAATCTCCTGGGAGAGGAGAAGCTTGTGGCATTGAACATCCTCTGCTCGGCTAAGAGATCAGATGAGTGTGCTATCTGCTCCCTGACTTCCAAAAATGTGTAGCAATCTCTCAACTACTTTCATCTCTCTGTCCTTTTGGTTCAGTATCTTTTTAAAAATTTTTCTTTCACTTTCATTTTAGGAGTTTGTAAAGGAAATGAGGTAAATATGTGTACAATCTTCTATATTTAACTAGGACTTCTGAGCTACTCTTTTGATTGCTTAGCACTTCTGGGCACCAGTCAGAAGACAAATTACTCTTCTTTTTCATATGTGGTGAAGATGTTAGTCGCTCAAAACCACACACTATCAAATGCACAATACTGAATTAACATTGACAAGAATGAGATTCGGATTAAGCAGTTTATCAAGTACAGATCTTAGCTGCTTTGAAAAGATTCTTCATCACATACATGAAATAATTCAATGCTAGACCTCTCAGGAGAATGTCTTTAATAACACAGAGCTCATCTCTCAAAACATTGGGAGACTGAAGATTAAAAAAAAAAAAAAAGGAAATTAGCAATGAGTAAAACTCACCTACAACATTATAACTATGGCTATATGAAAGTAGCTAAAAGTTTCAATGTTATCAAGTAAAAAACAGTTTTTGAAGTAAGGGGTACAACATTTAAAAGACAATATACATCATTATATGTAGAGGGAAAGAACCTTAAAAGACTAGTTTCCATATAGACAAGTGTAAGAAGAAAGAAATCCAAGATGACACCTTAAGTATAAAACTAAGTAATAACAGAAGTAGTAAAACACAGAAGGATGGAGAATATTTCCAAAGGATTCAAGTAAATCTAAGAGATTTGTATATATGGAATACTGAGATGAGAAAAATATTAACAGATATAATATGAAAAATAATTAGAGAAAAATGTTTCACTTTAATAGGCAAGACATAAGATGATTAAAGATGATAGGAACACATTAATAATTGCATTAACCAAAAAAAGTGTGTGTGTGTGTATATATATATATATATATATATATATATATATACACATATATATACACCACTAATAGGTTCAATGTAAAATGTAATTTTAGCCAAGTGTAGAACCAGCAATTTGAGTTACCCAGTTAACCTTAGGCTAAACACTTTTAACAAAGCATATCTATAGGTTTATTAAGTACTAGTATACTTAATTACCATTTTGAAAAATATTCTTACCTGTTCAATGACATAAAAGGCAAATTCTAGCCGCTGTTTCTGAAGCATTGGAATCAGATGCAAGAAAAATATTGGGAGATGTTCATGGCGATTACGGAAAGGAATAAGAACTGCCACCTTTAAAACAAAATAGTCACATATGTAAATAACAGAACAGCAAGCCCAGTAAGTGATCCATTAAAATCCCTGATGGCTTTAAAAGCATACCCTTATAAATTTTCTCACCAGAGATCCAACCATGAGCAAAAGCTGACATGGCCCTTACTTTTGACCACTTATGGTCTTGTGAGCCTGGGGAAGAATTCATGGGCTCTCAGCCATTCTAATGACCATGGTCTTTATGGTATGACACCATGGGAAGTTGTGGAAAGATCTAAAAAAGGTCTAAAATTAGTTTGTTGATTTGGGGGTGTAGTATTGAGAACAGAAAGCCAAAGACTGACTCTAGGAGCTGGTGAGGAATTTAACATTACAGGTAAGACAAAAGGTAATGGTAGCTTGAAGTGAGGAGAGAGTAGAGGAGAAAAAGAGGTTCATGGACTTTTGAAACATTTAAGAGGTAAATAAAGAGGATTTGTTTATAGATTGGATATGAAGAGTTAGGGAGAGGGAAGGGTCCAAGAGTAATTTTTAAAGGAGATCACTAATGACAACTTTATGGCTTATAAACTGAATTTGACAAAGACTCCAATTGAGAAAGACTCCATTTGAACATCTACTATCCGACATATGGTTTATCCAGGCTTGAGGTAATTTTGAGAAAAATAAGAATAGATCATAGAGTGTACATGAAGTTTGATACTATATTAACATAGCATTTTCCTGTTAATCAAAATGCACAATTAAATGATACATTTTATGTTTAATTCAGTGGTAGGATAATCAGTATTAAATGAAATTGATGACAAAATTATGTTAAAATGCTAAGCTTTAAAAACATATAGGCAGTACAAAAACAGAGAAATTTGTCTTTTATAAAACAAAGAAACGTGTGCCTTATATAATCCAAAAATTAAAGAAAAACATGTATATGGAAATCAAAATAATTTCACAGTTGATGAATATTTCACCTAATAAGGGAAAAAAAGTTATTAAAACTCTCAAAATCTGGACTAAAAACACCACATTGGGCCTCCCTGGCAGGGCAAGGGGTTAAGCACAGCACTGTGAAGCTATCTGCAGCCTCTGTGGCTCGAGTTGGATCCCCGGCCAGGGAGCTACCCACATGGTGCAGCAGACCTCTCCTGTCTCACCCACTGCTCCCCTTAGCAGTGTATTTCAGTCAATCTGCCTGTTCTGTTCCCCACTCTGTCTCTGGTGAATCCTCTCACACCCCCCACCCCACACCTCTGGCCTATACCCCATTTCTTGTATGCATAAATAAATAAATCTTTTTTAAAAAAAACACCATCTCTATAAACAGTAATAATAGAATATGGGGATAGGTGAATAATTATCAATCATCACTTACTCAAATTCTCTATTTTCTGGATCCAAACTTTGTCAGACAAGCCCAGTTACTGTACAATTCAGATTTTGCTCTTGAAAAAGCTAAAATGTTTTCTAAATATTACTTCTCTTAGCAATTTCTGAGCTGTTAATGTTATTATAATTATGAATTTTCTAATAAAAATTGAAATTAAAGCAAGTAACTCTTCAACACTTCATAAATTCAAAATCATTAGATCTCCAGTGAACACAAGAGTGAAAATATATCTAAAATATGTGTCATTGTATATTATAGATTTTTAAATAAATAATAAATGCCAATAGTTGAGAGTGCATATGTTTAGGACCTACTCCTACTTGTATCATCAGGACCTGACATTACATATAGTCAATGGAAAATAGCAACATTTATTTGTGTATTTTACCATGATCATAAATGAGAAAAAATTAAATTATTAAAATAATTTTATTTAAATAGAACAAAGATAATCTAGTAAAATTAAAGCTGTCTAAATGAGAAATTCTACCATTGATTTCTTTCCTTAATCCTGATAAGATAGTAGGGTAAAAAACAGACAACGACTGCTCTAAGGTTTATACTTTCATATTTACATTGTTTTACATGGTAAGTTATTGGAGCTAAGGGGGTTCTGGTGCCCTGGACAATCCATTGTGGATTCCATTCCCTTTTGGTTTTCCCCATACAGTATCTTGTCTTATGAACCTGAGGTTCATGTGGTTGCCAGAGCAAGAGAGAATCCACATCTCAGAGTCCCTTGTGTACCACATGCCTGGGCTACTGCTGATGCCCAGCACTACCTCTATTGAGTAGGGACTTGTTGATGGGTTAAAATATCAAGTGTTGACATATTCAAGGAATTTCTAAATCAATGCAATTCTCAAGCAGTTTTGGTACCACTAGGTTTTCTATTAGAATTAGAAAAAGCTATGAAAAGTAAAGGAGAGAAAGGAATGAGATGGTGTGTACAGATCTCTTAACTGTCCTTATCTGACATTATCAGTGTGATAATATTTTGCCCTTCCTGGTTTTAATTTTGGCTACAAGTTGGTTACCTATGACATAATATAAATGGGCTATAAAAGCAGTGAAGGCCAATTATAGATATTTAAGGAAGAAGCCATTAAATATTGGCAGAGCCTATATTCAAGAGTCCATAATAATCAAATACAATTAGGCTGAATGATGACTTGAAAATATAAAATAAAAACATGCAAAGTCACAATTCCTAATACAGTAATTTCTCCAATGAAACATTTCAAATATTGAATTTTTTTAAATCTTATAAGGGAACCAAGACTGTATAAGAGAAAGAAATTAACTGTGCCTTGGCAAAATCAAGTAAGTTAAGTTATCATTTTAATAGCAAATATATATTCACATTTTAATGAGACAGTTACCAAAGATATTGAATGAACTACCTAAAGCAAAGTTTTTGTTAAAATAAAACTAAACAATTTCTTAAAAATTCATTTGACACATCCCTTCTTGAGAGAGTGAAACAACATCCTCAATAGCTTACAATTTATTGTCTAGAAAAAGATCTCAGTGTTCTGTGATAATTTATTTCAAGGCTTAATAGCCTTTGTTTCAGGACATTCTTTTTTATATATACCCTCATTTGCTCTTTTAGCCACTCTCCTCTTGATTCATCTTCAGTAGAGATAAGACATCAGGTTATTATCTTCTGAAAAAACACTTTATCTTCATGAATTGTTCCTCATCACCTCTTGTTCAAGCAAAATTATCCCATTCAGTCTGCTCCCACTTTAAAACCACTAATCTTACTGAATTTATGTGCCTATTTTTCTTGCTTGCTTATTTTCTTGCTTATTTTTTCAAACAAGAAAAATGTTTGCTGCATAAATTTCACTCCCTCAGTTTCTGTCCTACTTTCAAACTTCAGGCACACCACCACCTACAGTGACCCCCAAATTGTATGGCTTCAAACTTGCCTGCACTAGCTATTTGCCACTAAGCCAGGTGGACAGAAGCTACTAAGCTCTCATTTTCCGGCAGTGTTTTCAGTTTCATCTACCTGTTCATCATTTCCAGTGCTTATAGGAATTTCTTAAATGAAAATCACTTGGTAAAAAATGCAAGTTCTTGCTCCTTCCCACCAATGGAATCAAAATGTCTGAGGACAGAGTTCAAGAATTTTTAGTTTTACCAATAACCTGCTAGTCCTAAAAAAGGAGACTAAGATGTATCTTTGAGAAATCATGGCCTAGAAATGGAACTCCAAAGGCCTGAGCATGTGACAGCATAAAACACCTCCCTGGGCCTCCCTGGTGGCACAAGGGGTTAAGATGCAGCACTATGAAGCAATCCGCAGGCCACTGCAGCACAAGTTCAATCCCAGGCCAGGGAGGTGACCCACATGGCACAGCATATCTCTCCTGACTCACCCGCTGCTCCCCTCAACAGTGTATTTCAGTCAATCCACTTGTTCTGTTCCCCGCTCTGTCTCTGGTGAATCCTCTCACCCCCCACACCTCTGGCCTGTACCCCAGTTCTTGTATACATAAATAAATATTTAAAAAGTAATAAAAAAAATTAAAAAAATAAAACACCTGCCTGGTTCTCTAAGACTTTAGGTACTAAACCAAAATTGTTCAGCCTTCTTAACTGAACCCTGAATGGAAAGGCAATGTCACAGGAAAACACTTCTAATGACCTAAAAATCATCACTACATACCTCATCCTCCCTTTTAGAATTAAGCCTGCCTCTACATTCAACCTGTGGTAAAGTTTCCACTCCAATCTGCAGTTTTCAGAAATATCTAGGGAAGATCCTAAAATCACTAGTTTTATATATCTTCCAATTAAATGGCCATAAATTAATTTAGTGGGTATTTTCAAGTAAAAAAAATAAAATATTAACAATCAAGTTGGTTGCAGATGTTTAACATAAATCTAGTTATTTCTTCTTTTCCCATCTCTCAACTCTGTTCCAAGATTAGAATGGGACATTACAGGAATGCAAACAGCAGGCAGAAAGAATAATTTAGGGCCTCCCCGGTGGCGCAGCGGTTGAGCGCTAGGTTGCGAAGCTGCCCGCGGCCTCTGCGGTGCTGGTTCGATCCCCGGCTGCTCCCCGGCCACTGGAGGAGGGTCCCACATGGTGCGCAGACCTCTCCTGCCGCCCGCTGCTCCCCTCAGCAGTGTACCTCTGTCCTTCTGCCTGCTCTGCTCCCCGCTCTGGCTCTGGTGAATTCTCTCACCCTCCCGCGCTTCTGACTGTACCCAGTGCATGTATATACAGAACAAACAAACAAACAAATAAATAAATAAATAATATGCCTCTATAAAAAATAAAGAAAGAAAGAAAGAAAGAAAGAATAATTTAATTAATTAAATATGGCAAGTATAGTTCACCTCTGAATGATCTCCAAAATCCTCATATCTTCAGTTGCATAGCTCAGAACTAGAGATACTATTTAGAAGGGTTTTTCTTAAAGCTGCAATATGAATGGCATCACCATAGGGTAATTAAATAAGACAATTTTTAGATCCCTGAATCAGCTTGCTTCTAGGAATTGCACTTTCAATACTGATTCATGTGGAGGTTATAGTCTACTAAATCTGAGTAGGAAATACCTACATATGGTATAACTCTCTTCTGGAAAATGAAAATAACCTATGAAACTTAAAATCTAATATAGACCACTAGAGAAAGGAAAGAATATTGAATTTTTCCAATCCCAAAATATTCTACTACTCTGCCAGAGTATACACCTGAAAGTCATGCTGAACCCTATGTGAAAACATTTGCACCTCAGAGCTATGTGGTCTCAGTTCCAGGCCACCAAAATAAAGCAAGGTACGGCGTATAAAAAAGCTATCACATGTTCACTATACTGTAGTCTACTAAATGTACAGCAGCATTATCTTTAAAAAGTGCCAATCTTATTGAAAAAAATACTGTATTGTTAAAAATGCTGGTCATCATCCGAACTGTTAGAAAAATAGTGCAAACAGTCTTGCTGGATGCAGGGTTGCTACATTCAATTTCTGAAAAAGCACAATATCTGCAAAAGGCAATAAAGTGAAGCACCCTAAAACAAGTGTACCCCAGCTACTTAAAAAGATGGAATCCTGTCCTTTGCAACAATATGAACGGAAAGAAAGGTATTGTACTTTGTGAAATAAGTCAGATGGAGAAAGATGAAAACCCTATGATTTCACTCATGTGACAGATAAACAAAATGGTAAATTAAATACATGCTAGACATACTGGAGATCAGGATATGAATATTCCCCCCATAAGCTCTCACCAGTTCCATGACTTGGTGGAGCTCTGCCTACAGGTGTCTCCAGTCATGAGGACCAATGGTAGGTTGCAGAGAAACCAGTCTCTCTTCCAAACAAAAGGGAACAAAAAATCTGTTTCTAAGCCAATCTCAAGAGAGATTTTTATTATCAGGATCTCCAAGATACTGAACATATGCACTTCTATTTTTTAAGTACACAGGTGCAGCTACAGTCTTCACAAGCAACGCTCAAATGACATTTAAGCACAGAACAACTATACATTAAATACAAAATTTCTGACAAATTTATCAAGACTTAAAGCTATTTCAGTATATTTACTGAAATGCATAGTAATAGTCACATTATTTATGAAATAATTGACCTCACCTTCCACCTAGGTTTACAGTCTTTAGGCCTCCAGTGACCTCCTGGTTCGATATCTGAATCCTTGGAGAAGAGTTGATGAATTTCATCAAAACTGACTTCACTTACATTGACATTGAGGTATCCCCCTAGAAAGTTAGAAACATAAAGAATTGTTTTAGTATGTTTGCATTAAAGATAAAGAACCGGGCCTCCCCAGTGGCGCAGCGGGTTGAGTGCAACGCTGTGAAGCTGTCCGCAGCCTCTGTTCGATTTCTGGCCAGCCAGGGAGATACCCACATAGAGCGGCAGACCTCTCCTGTCTCACCCACTGCTCTCTTCAGCAGTGCTTTTGGTCAGTCTGCCTGTTCGGCTCCCCACTCTGCCTCTGGTGAATCCTCTCACCATCCTGTGCCTTTGGCCTGTACCCCAGCTCTTGTATAAATAAAATAAAATCTTTAAAAAAAAAAAAAGATAGAGAACCAGAATCAACTCCTCCCCACACATACAACGAAATAACACAGATAAAAACAATAATCCCTGAAAAATTTCTGGAGAAACATTGTTCTTTTGCAAGGAAAAAGCAACATAGCAGAAGGGTGGGGGAAATTGCAATATAGTTTGCTTGAGATCCTATCAGGGTGGCACAAATCAAGAGAAGGAGGATCAGCAGTGATAAGTATTTTTTTTGTGTATGACAAAAAACTATAGAACCTGAGGAATGCATTAGAGAGGGGTTACACACAGGCAGGTGTGGACAATAGACGGGTTTAACTCCAGAGACAGGAAGATTTGGGGGAGCAGAGATATGGGACTAAATGCAGGGGGAGCAAAGATACCAATTAGGGTAGACCCCATAATGCTAGGAATCAATCAGAAGGGGAAACACCCCACACCCCTGTCACTAAAGGTGCTTGAGGCCACTAAACAGTCCTTGAGCATTTCTCTAGGGTGCTAATGATTAGCATGAATCTGTGGCCAGCTGAAGCCAGTGGGGACGGCTTGGGTAGAGGAACTTCTGAATGGCAAGAGGTTCACCTGTGACTCCTCTTTAAAACTGGCTTCTGTGGGATGTATAACACCTGTCCCACCACCACACCTGGGGACATTGTTGGGATAACATTCACCTACAGCACTTCCTGTCTCTAAATAGTTTAAAGCATCTAGGTCCTGGCAGCAGGAGCTTTCGGCTCAGAAGGCTCAATACACGTAAGCACTGGGAACAGACCCAGGCCTGGCATTACCCCTATCTATACTTCTTCCCCAACCTCAGCACCCCTCCCAGTGCCACAACCCCTCCCTAAAAGAGAGGCAATCTTTTACAGATAGCACCTACAAAGCATGAGACATATGCCCCTAATCTATCTAGGATGGTAACGGGAATGGTAGCCTGCACACAATCCAAAGTCACAGTTCACTGCTCACTCTGCTCCTGCCAACACCTCTGGGAAAAATTGGTCACAGATTCCACATACCAGAGCTACTCCATAGCTGAGGGATCAATATAACCCTGAGGCTACTGAAAAGCTCCCACTGAGAATCTGGTTAGGAGAGGGGGTTGTTGCAGATTCCCCCTCTCAGCTTGAACACCTGCTGCCACTTTGGAGGTCTGATATGCAACAGAACTCTATCTAGCAGCAACCTCTTGTTCCCCACTGTCCTTTACCAGCACTAAAACTCGGGTCATCTAAACAGGTGCAGAGGCACAGTCAATAAAGCAACAGAAACCCCAGGACACTGTCAAACAGCATAGGATTATATTCTGCAACCTGTAGTCTCGATATAAGATCAACATCAAAAAACCCAAATAACAAAATGGCAACAAATACATATATTTCAATAATTACCTTAAATGTAAATGGTTTGTGTTTATCAATTAAAAGGTTTAGGGTGACCGAATGGATAAGAAAACAAAATCCAAATTTTTACTATCTATAGGAAACTCATCTTACCTCTAAAGACGAATTCAGTTTTAAAGTAAAGAGCTAGTTAACCATTATTCTACAAGCAAATGGTAATCAAAAAAGGCAGGTACATCTATATTTACAGCACACAAAATAGATATACAATTTAAAATGGTAATAAGAGAGAGGGATGGTTATTAAATAACAATTAAGAGCTTAACACAACAAGAACAACATTTACGGATACACACGCACCAAATCAAATGACAGTGCATCAAAACAGATAACGCAATTGCTAATTGAACTAAAGAGTGACACTGACAAAAACACAGTAATAGTAGAAAATTTTAATAACCCACTTACAACTATGGACAGATCAAGAAAAGAGTTATTAGTTATGAGGGAAATTTAAATCAAATCACAGTGATATATCATCTCAAATCTGTGAGAATGACATATCAAAAAGACTGCTAGCGGTAAGTGTTGGTGAGGATGTAAAGAAAGGGAAAGCCTTATACACTGTTGGTGGGAATGTAAATTGGTGCAGCCATTTTTGAAAGCAGTATAGAACTTCTTCAAAAAACTAAAAATAGGGGCCTCCCTGGTGGCACAGGAGTTAAAGTCTAAGCGCTATCAAGCTACGGCCAGCCACTGCAGCATGAGTTCAATCCCTTGCCAAGACGGTGCAGCAGACCTCTCCCACATGGTGCAGCAGACCTCTCCTGTCTCACCCGCTGCTCCCCTCAGCAGTGTATTTCTGTAGATCTGCCTGTTCTTCTCCCCACTCTGTCTCTGGTGAAGCCTCTCACCCTTCCCCAGCCCCTGCAACTCTGGCCTACACCCCAGTTCTTACATGCATAAATAAAAAATAAATCTTTTTTAAAAAGCCCTAAAAATAGAACTACCATATGATCCAGCAAGTCCACTTCTGGGAATCAAATCAAAGAATATGAAATCATTAACTCAAAGAATTATATGCACCACAAAGTTTATGGCAGTATTATTTACAATAGCTTAAAACATGAAAGCAATTCATAGAGGATTGGATAAAGAAGATGTGGTATGTGTGCATGCACACAGTGGAATACTATTCAACTATAAGGAAAGATAAAACTGCCATTTGCAGTAAAATGGAAGGATGATGTGGAGTAAAATTATTCAGAAGGATAAAGACAAATAAATACTGAATGATTTCACCTATATGTGCAATATAAGGAAACAATGGGGATGATTGGACAAAACAAAATAAAAATAAACTACTGGGCACTGATAACTGAACTCAGGTTACCAGAAGTAAAGAAGGTGGGTGGAACAAGGGTGGAGGGGATATAACGAATAGCAATGGGTGTTTTGTTTCTTTTTTGTTTTTTCCTTTTTAAAAAAAGATGAAGAAAACAAAAATCAGTAGGGTGATGACATAACTTAATTGCCAGGACAGTACAGACTATTCTTGTTATCATCACATAATTTTTAAAATCATTCCCTTTTACTTTTAGATCAGATGATAATTACATATGGTCACTCTACTACCTTTTACCTTGGTAAATCATACAAAGAAAACCAAAATTTCTTAACATTTCACTTTTCTTAAGATTTATTTATGCATACAAGAGCTGGGGTACAGGCCAAGATGTGGGGGAGTGAGAGGATTCACCAGAGACAGAGTGGGGAACAGAACAGGCAGAATGACTGAAATACACTGCTGAGGGGAGCAGCGGGCAAGTCAGGAGATGTCTGCTGCACCATGTGGGTATCTCCCCGGCCGGGGATTGAACTCATGCTGCTGCAGAGGCTGCGGATAGCTTCATAGGTTGCGTCTTAACCCCTTCCTTGCGCCACCAGGGAGTCCCAACATTTCACTTTTGAATAAAATACTGAATATTTTAATATTCTTCAGAAAATGCATGTCATTGCAATTTAACAACTATTCAAGTATTTTAAACTATCTTAAAAACAGAGGTAATATAGGGACATGATAGCATAATACATAAGAGTTAATTAAGCAGTTAGAATGGCTAAGAGCTGAATTCTAGTTTCTGTCTATTGCAGAAATTATTTAACTTCTCTGTACCCCAGTTTCCTCATCTGTAAAAGGAAATGATAATGCTTGCCTCTAAATGTGGCTGTATCCAATAGATGAAACAAAAGGGTGTAAAGGGTCAAGTGCAATGCCAAACGCAAAGGCACACACTCAAAAATGCCAGCTACTATTATTGCCATCTACTTTACTGACACTGCTCAAAGTAAATTGCAAAACACAGTTCAACAAATTTATTTTAAATACCCAATGAATACCCTTGATATACAAAACTGTAAAGCCAGGGATTTCTAAGTTCTTCATCTACTATGCACTTACCCTCCAAATTAACAAAGACAGGAAATTACCGGAGATGCCTTTACTAATAGATTTTCTAATGTATACTATGAAATACTAGCGGATGAGAAACCATTTCCATTAATTCAGTCAAAAGCAGAACTAAGTTCTTTCAAACTCCTCATCTCAGAAAACAGAAACCAACAAATACTAAGGCTTCCTGTTTTATTTATTTTATTTTATTTTATATAATTCTTACATCATTTTTCATTTTTGCACAATGTATGCATTTTCATTTTGATTATATTCCCCATACAATTCCCACCCTCATTTATTTTGACCCTAATCCCTCCTCTCCTCCCCTAACCCCCGCAGTGTGTCTCTGGTTTATAGTTGTTTGTGGCTTCCTGTTTTAAACCTCCGAAGCTTCCAGTAACCACAATTTCACACATAAAACATTCAGTTTCTGTCTAGAAAGCCTATCCTCTCTCCAGTTAGTATGTGTTCTAGAAGATTTCTGCAGCCATACCTCTCTTCCCAATCCTCTCATCAGAAGAATAGGAATAGCTTAGGGATAAGTATTTTTAAATGTAAATGTGTAGTTCCACAGAGTAAACTAGAAAGAAAGTGCTACTAACAATATTTGTGGCCCTTCACAACCCAATACCCACCATTTAGTGTAACAAGAGATGGAAAGTAGCCAAATTTAAGGGGACTCCTGGTGGCGCAAGGGGATAAGACACAGCACAATGAAGCTATTCCACAGCCACTGTAGCACGAGTTCGATCCCCAGCCAGGGAGTTACCCACATGGCGCGGCAGACCTCTCCTGGCTCGCCTGCTGCTCCCCTCAGCAGTGTATTTCAGTCATTCTGCCTGTTCTGTTCCCCACTCAGTCTCTGGTGAATCCTCTCACCCTCTGCATCTCTGGC